ACACACTGACACACGAACCCCCCCCCCACCGACATACGATCAGATCAAAGATAGCTCCACCTCGTGAGGGGGAGCCGAGAAGGGGAGAGATTGTTGGCATAAAAAGGAGCCGTTTCAGCATTGAAATCAACTCATCAGCCCTCGGGGGCAGCTCAACAGAAGAAAACTCATCAGCCCTCGGGGGCAGCTCAACAGAAGAAGACTCATCAGCCCTCGGGGGCAGCTCAACAGAAGAAGACTCATCAGCCCTCGGGGGCAGCTCAACAGAAGAAGACTCATCTCAACTCAGCTCAACAGAAGAAGACTCATCTCTACTCACCTCAGCAGAAGACCCGCTCAACTCATCTCAGCAGAAGACGAGCCATCACCGACGCCGGAGATGTCTCTACAATTCGCCGAATTGGCGAGTGTCGCCGATTGGCGACCCGCTGCCGCTGTTAGCGGCCAGCGCCACCACGAGCGAATCGTGAGCCTGCAATCTACAACCGCCGACGACGGAGCACCAGCGCGCCGCTGCGGGCGTGCTTCTAACGCCGTCTACCAGACGGTCATCTCAGCTACAACAACGCATCTACTCGTTCACCAACGTCCGTCGAGTCCGAACCAACTACTGAAAGAAGAATCAACTGATACGTATGATACACTGCCCCCCACTACACACAAACCAGACGTCTGCTTGACGCAAAGAATCGATTCCGAACATTGGCCTACTCTTTCACCACTCACACCATTCAACACACACACACACGGGTCATTAACAAAGCCTAAAAAACCTCAAGCCATTGAACCATCCGTGATTGTGGAAACATCGCAACGACCGAGTGAATAATCTATCGTTTTTAAGAGTGTTCATAATTTCCTCTGTAATATTGTGCTGGGGCTGTACTTCTAACCGCATAAATTACCAACTGACCCATTAACAAGGATTAATTCTTGGCACCTCACCACGGAGCGCCGCTCGCGGGGTTGAAGAGCGGGTTCAACCGGTTCCCTGTCAGGGGTCTGGCCACAATCAATTAAAAGATTGGCCCGAGATAAGGATCTCAAAAGGAAACATCGCCACCCATTGAGTCGCGTTGAGAAGTTGATTAGGAATACTTGAGTCGTTCGTTAATATTTGTCTTTCTGCATAATCTTGCCGGTATCCACGAATGAAATAACGAATTCAAACGCATATTTGTGCCTCCAAGAATAATACTGGTTGGAGTGCCCTGTCAACGAGTAGCGTTGCATAATAATCAGTCATCCTATTGTTAACAACGTGACAATAATTGCATTAAGGGCCGCGCATGATCAGTGACCGAATGCTGTTTTGTGTGACAATTCAAGTAACGAAGCATTGTGGCCATCGAGTGGTGTTGATAAGGCAATTAGAAGTATTACAGTCGAACGCTTTAAATTCATAATCGTTATGAATCAATGAACGAACATCAACGTGGTACTGTGCTGACGATTTCAAGCATAATAACTTCGCATATCAGAATGTATTAAGGATTGGATACGAATCAAAGACCAAGTGCCGTGTTGTGTAACAATTCAAGCATACGAGTTTGCATATTATAAAGTTAAGGTTTGATAGAATAGTTCGCATGTTTTTAATCTCTCTCTCAACAACCGATCGATTGCGTTACGCGTCGGGAATTAACCACAGGTGCCGCTATCGAGGTGAAACAACGCAATCGTGATGGTATCATGTTAACGCTGTGTTGAAATTCCAAAATCCCGAGATTGAGTTTTTCATATTATCCAAAAATTAAAGTTAGCTAGAAATAAAATTGATTAAAGCAGAAGGTTTGTGTGTGATTCTTCCTGAAATTCTGCGTAATATTGTTCTGCGTATGAGATCTGAATCCTGGGGACCTATCATAAGCACACTATCACCACATAATCCATAACACACATAATCCGTAATGTTCAATCGAGAGTAATCGTATCCTTATCGATAATACGGAATTAAAGAGCAGAGTCGAATCGTCTCTCTCTCTCATTCACGCTCACAACGCCTGCGTCACTGCATACGATTAATTGCGTTATTCCAATTCATAACACAATCCTCGTCACCGAGGCTCGACCTGATAATCCATAACGACCTGCATTATCATAACCACGCCCACTCGCATAAATTAATACGATTATCTCTCGAATCAGCATAATTTATGCGCATAATTAAACTCAACATAATTTCGGATAAATTATGCAAATCTCAAATTTCATTTAATTTGCATTATTTTCATCAATTTTCATAACACCTATACATACAACATGAGACTGGGTCATAAAGAAGGCTGTCTCTGGTGTAGGCCAATCAGTTTCAAAGACAATTCAAATATTATCAGAGCATGTTTGTTTGCATATTCACCACAAGTCACGTGTGTGGTTAATGCAGTAACTTGATTCCTTGCAACAGGTTTCTAATTGGTTGCTTGAACATTTTAACACCACTTCCTGCTTTACTGCCACAAAGGGTAAAACCTTTTATTATTTTTCACACTTTGATTCTGGAAAAAGGTCCCATGACACAGCTTGTTTGGCTGGATGGGGCTAAATGGATGTGTCATAGGCTAGAAGAGAGATGGAATTATGTGATGGTAAGACCCCACCTCTTAGTGGCACACTCCAGTTTTAGCAGCAGCGCCTCCAACTCCTCCTCTGAGTGAGCCGCAATTATCACGTCATCGGCATACATAACGTGGTTGACCAATAGGGAGCCATCCCTTGACGGCATCCGGGCATTGATCAGCCTCCCACTGTATCTGTACCAGATGGAAATTCCTCCGGTACAGCTACTGAAGGCCTCACGAACTACGTGGTCGAAATAGATGTTAAATAATGTTGGAGCCAGAGGACATCCCTGTCGCACCCCAAGGTGAACAGGGAATGGCTCCGACTCCCGGCAATGTAGTTTTACCCGGGTCCGCTCACCATAATGAAGGTCCTTAAAGATCGTGAGCAGCGGGTCAGGGACTCCGAAAGCACGAAGAACCCAGAGCCCAGGCCTACTGATGGTGTCATAGGCCTTTACCAGGTCAATAAAGCAGAGATGTAGGTCTTGTTGGAATTCCCTACACCTCTGCTTTAGCAAACGGACAGAAAATATGGCATCTGTGCAGGACCACCCTTTCCTGAAACCACATTGGGGCTCCACAAGCCTCTCCTCAGCATGCCTGGTAAGGCAGTGTTGAATAATCCTTGCCAGGACCTTTCCCGGCACACTGAGGAGTGAGATGCCCCCGTAGTTGTTACAGTCTGTGCGGTCTCCCTTCTTAAAGATGGGGATCACCATGGCATCCAATCACCTCACTTACACCACTATCACTAATACCACCAACACCAACACCACCATCACTAACACCAGTAACACCACCACTATCACCACTACTAACAACCACAATCACTAACACCACCATCACTAACACAACTAACACCACCACCATCACGAGCACCCCCACCACTAATACCACCAACATTAACACCACCACTCCTCCCCCTGCCAGTATGGGACACCAAAGGGTGTTGGATTGCCAGCACCATGCCCGGCCGCCTTTGTCTCCCCAGTGGCGATCTTTACACACCACACCAGGTACTCATTCGAGGTTGAGTCAACCTAGGGGAGGCCCAGCACCGGTTCAGATAATCGTTACTGCTGTTGGCCTTTAGAGGGAATCCAACTCGGGGTCGCCGGGTTCATAGCGCGGCGCGCTGTCAGCTCTACGACCGTTCCACACACACACAGACTCACACAGAGACTCGCACACGTAGAGACTCACACACACAGAGACTCACACAGACTCACACACACACAGACTCACACAGAGACTCCACACATACAGACTCACACACACAGAGACTCACACAGAGACTCACACACACACAGAGACTCACACACACACAGACACAGAGACTCACACAGACTCACACACACACAGACTCACACAGAGAGACTCACACACACAGACTCATACAGAGAGACTCACACACAGACTCACACAGAGACTCACACACACAGACTCACACAGAGAGACACACACAGACTCACATAGAGAGACTCACACAGACTCATACAGAGAGTCTCACACACAGACTCACACAGAGACTCACACACACAGACTCACACAGAGACTCTCACACACACAGACTCACACAGAGAGACTCACACACACAGACTCATACAGAGAGACTCACACACAGACTCACACAGAGACTCACACACACAGACTCACACAGAGAGACACACACAGACTCACATAGAGAGACTCACACAGACTCATACAGAGAGACTCACACACAGACTCACACAGAGACTCACACACACACAGACTCACACAGAGACTCTCACACACACACAGACTCACACAGGGAGACTCACACAGAGTCTCACACGCACACAGAGACTCACACAGAGAGACATACACACACAGAGAGTCTCAACACAGAAACTCACACACATACAGAGAGTCACACACACAGATTCACACACACAGACTCACACAGAGAGACTCACACACACACAGACTCACACAGAGAGACACACACACAGAGAGTCACACACACACAGACTCATATAGAAAGCCTCACACACACACAGACTCACACAGAGAGACTCACACCACCACCGCCACCACTCACCCACAGCTCGGTTCCACTCCTGCTCTGGGGTCGGTCCGCGTCTCTCTAACGGCCAAACTGCCAGTGGGAAGCACGTGGCGCGAGGCGCGGGGGTGGTCCAAGGTAACCACGCCCCCGTGACGTCAGAGCCATGAGCTCCTCCCCCTCACACCTGAGCTCCTCCCCCCCTGCCCCCCCTCGCGACCACGCCCCATGGTCCGCCATTTCCCTCCCCCTCGCTACCCCCCTGCCCCTCCTGCCCCTCCTCGTGACCCCCCTTCCCCCCCCCGCCCCTCCACATTCGCAACCCCCCATGCCCCCTCACAACCCCCCATGCCCCCCCTTTTTCTCCACCTAACGAACCCCCTCTATGCCCCCCCCTTGCCCCCCCTGCCCTCCCCCTCGTGACCCGCCCCCTCACCCCCCATGCCCCGCCCCCCTCCCCCGCTGCTACTTCCGCTTAGGCCGGGGCCGAGTGGAGGCGGCGCGCGCTGTGGATTGTGGGTGGCGAGCGGCTGATTTGGATTCCCGCTCACGGCCACCGTCAGTGGCTCGCGAAAGCTTCTGAAGCGGCGGCTCGCTGGGCCTCCTCTACGTCGACTCAGCCTGAAGGTGAGAACCTCGCGCGGTGTGTCCACATCAGCAGTGGCGGCGGCGGCGGTGGTGGGGGGAGACAGAGGAGGCGCCTGGCCCACAGCCGTCACGTTCTGCTGAGTTCACGGCGCTGCTTCAAGCAGAGCTCGGCCCTGCTGCTGCTGCTGTTGAGAGGCACTCCCAGAGGGCCGTGTGGCTGATGGGAATTATAGTTGTGGTTAAATTATAGTTGTGGTTACAGTTGTTGGTCGTGGTTATTGTTGTGTGGTTGTTATTGTGGTGGTTGTGCAGGTGGTGGCACACGAGTTAACCCATAGCACCAGGGTCTAGCCCTCCTCTTGTACCTAGCCAGGCAGAGCAGTCAACCCATGGCACCTGAGTCTGGCCCGTGGCCTCCTCCTGCACTTAGCCTGGCACAGCCGTCAAACCTTGGCACCTGAGTTATTGTGGGGACATCACCGCCACGTAGTGGTGAATGGTGACTGTTGATGTGTGTGGGCTTGTGTGTGAGTATGATGGTGAATGCGTGAGTATGATGGTGAGTATCATGGTGAGTGTATCATGGTTAGTTAGTAATACTGAGTGTGAGTTTGACTAATTCTCCTCCCTCTCGCTGTCTCTGCTTTCCCCCCTAACTACCTCGCCTGGTGTACAGGAGGTTGTGGGTTCGACCCTGATGCCTGCTGTATATTTGGAGTTTGCGTGTCTCTGTCTCTCCCCGTGGTCGTGTGGACTTTTTCTCCGGGTCCTCCGGTTTTTCCCTCCACATTTAGAAACATTCGTTTAAAGTTTTGACTTAAAACTTTAGTGACTGTGATGATGAGCCACTTCGTTGAGCTATCATTGGTGCCAAGTCGCTTCTGAAAAAGAGATGTTTAGCTCAGTGGACCTTAGTCTAGTTTTCTCTCTCCTTCCCGAGCACAAGAACAAGCAGGAGCAGGGGTAGGAGCATTCTCCACTTAGTGGTGGTGACGACACCACGGCGCTTGTGCCAGGATATGTGCACCACAGATATCCATCACATAGAGACCCATAGAGTCATCACACATAGACCTATACACTCACCACGCACATACCCTCAGACTTGCACAGAGAACCATAGACTCACCACAGAGACCCATAGAGTCATCAGACAGAGAACCACAGACTCAAACAGATCCACAGACTCGCACAGAGCCCTATAGACTCACCAAACAGAGACATAGACTCACCAAACAGAGACATAGACTCACCAGACAGATACCCATAGACTCAATCGTACCCATACTCACACAGAGACCCATAGACTCACCACAGAGACCCATAGACTCACCACAGAGACCCATAGACACATCAGACAGAGACGCATAGACTCACCCCACAAAGACGCAGAGACTCACCCCACAGAGACCCATAGACTCAGAGAGAGACCCATAGACTCACCAAACAGACCCATAGACTCACCACATAGAGACCCATAGAGTCATACAAAAACGCATAGACTCATCACACAGAGAACCACCGAATCAAACAGACTCGCACAGAGCCCTATAGACTCATAAAACAGAGACACATAAACTCACCACACAGAGACCCACGGACTCTCACAGAGACCCATAGACTCACCACACACAGATCCATCGACTCACAGAGAGACCCAAGGGCTCGCGTGTGTGGTTATTTAGTTGAAGGTGGAGGGGGATTACCAGCCCCTTGCACCCATCCAGAACTCCCTGTTGCCACTGTGTGGCTGCGAGGCGACGTGAGGTTTACAGCTGGTCAGGTTTGGCGCCCCCCCCCCCCCCCCAAAATGGCATTTCTCACAACCACCGCCGCGTTATCGACCGTCGCCATTCGCCAATAAGTGACAGTGACGTCACCACGGCGCCTGTGCCAGGCCAGGTGCACTTTGAAGCCACGTGACGTGTCGAAGGCTCGCTGACCGGAGGATCCTGGAACAGACCCAGGTGCCATGGGTTGGCTGACTGAGATGACTGGCAGATGCACCACCTGTACCCCGTACTGTGCCAAATTGCTGCATATTTATCATCCGGTGTTCCGCTCGTTGTTGTGAGCGTCACTCCTCCGTTGTGGTGGAGGGCGACTGTCTCCAACTGCCCAGTAGAAGCGTCCTTCACGAGCCTCCCCCGCAGAGGCCGATCCCGACACCGCTGGTACCAGTCGTCGGCAAAGCCCACTCAGCTCCACATCCTCCCGTAACGCATCAGTCCACCTCCACTCCAGCCCATGGCGTGCCCGCCCATCCCCCTCCATCCACCCACATACTCACCTACTGGCTTACTGACGCACTCACCCACTCATATCTGCTCACGCACCCACACATTACATTTTAAATGCAGGCCACGCAAAGCATCGTGATCAGTTTACACCAAAATCTACTCTCAACCACTTAAACCACATATTCGTGAATGATGCGCACCCTAATCTGCCACTACGGTTGTGTGCAGGGTGTTGTGATGTCACGTAGTACAACGTTTCTCCTGGTCCCCCCCCTCCTCCGTTATAACGCGCCGTCTATCTATGGCCTCGTCGCATTGGCCTTCATGGACGAGTGGTGATGGTGAAAGATGATCAGCGGTGGACACTGAATTACTGGGGCCCCATTTAACGTTCAGGTGACACGGGACACGGTACGTGAAGAACCTTTTAACTGTCCTGTAAGCAGACTCCTCTGCGTGGGATATTTAACACCTCTTAATGCACAGACAACAGCCAACTCAGCCTCGCCTGCCGGAGGAGCTCACTGATGATCGGACAGTGTCCAGATCTCTCAAGCATCTGTGAGCTACTCGCACACAAAGATCCCCCGTGTAGCCTTTAACAGACTGTTGGGGCAAGTGCTTTATAACATCATCAAAGGGGCGCTGCAATATGATGCAATCAAAATCACCGATCAGAGATTTTCCTATATATTGTCTTTGTTGATCGTGAATCGAGACTAATTGTATTGATTCCTCTCAATCGATCCGGCAGTAAGCTCAAAATGTCCGATTTTATCTGCAATATTCTGCGTTTCACAGATCATACAAAGCAACGGTATTGATGCCCGATTTGTATGAGTGGGTGGGTGGCAGGGTGAGTGGGTTTGTGAGTGGGTGAGTGAGTGTGTGGGTGGCTTTAGTAGTTGAGCGGGTGGGTGAGTCAGATAATGAGGCGCCGCAGTGGCGAGATGTTAACTCCCTCGCCCAGAATACAGGATGTAATCAATTCGATCCCGACCCTGAAGCCTGTATATTTGGAGTTTTCATCTTCTTCCGTGGTCGCGTCGATTTTTTTGATTCCTTGGGGTTTGTTTTACACGTAGGCTTTCGCGACCAATATTATCCATAATAGAGGGTTTTTTTTGGGTTAGATCGCGTAAATATATAAATGTGTCGTTAAAAACCCACCACCACCCGACACAGCCAACTAGTAAGGGTTGTCACGTAATCAGAACATTCCAATTTGTAACTAGTACAGCACACCGGTGTGTTGGAGAGTCAAGCCACAACATTTACAATCTGAGTACAACTTTTCGCCAGTAATTACAACTAGCTTCATCAGGCGACAGCCAGATTTGTGGAGAAGTTAGTCTGTTTCGTTCCTTATAAAGAGGCATAGATGTGGTGACCACACTTTGGCGCTCTTGATGCAAAGTGGGGAGGGGGGGAGAGATTAATGAGTCAACGTACATTATGCATGCGCATTATGTGAACCCTTTGCGCTTGTCCTTCTGGTCCATTGTGTGCATTAAGTTAGCCGGGTTTTCCCTCCGCATTTCAAATCAACATGCGTTTAAAGGATTTGAATGCAATAAATGTTTACGTGATAAGCCACTTCGTCGACCTATTATTTGTAACCAGGTCACTTGATATACCTCTGTGGACCTTACCTGGTAAAATAAAAAAATTTTGTTTAGTTTCAGTTTATTGGATGGTTGAGTGGGTAGGTGGGATTTTGAGTGCGTGGGTGGGTCAGTTGGAGATTGAGTGGGTGTCAGGGTGAGTGGGTGGGTAAATTGGTGAGTGAGTGAGTGTGTTTGAGATCCAGTGGGTGGGTTTGTGAGTGGGTGGGTGAGTAGGTGGCTGAGTCGGAGAGTGGAGTGCCATAGGTGGCGAGATGTTAACTGCCTCGTCTTTTATAAACGAGGTCATGGGTTCGATCCCGACCCTGACGTCTGTATATTTAGAGTGAGTGGGTGTGTAGGTGGGTGCATAGGTAAGTTCTTGAGTGAGTGGCTTGGTGTGTTGATGAGTCAGTGGGTTAGTGAGTGAGTGGGTTTGTGAGTGGGTGAGTGAGTGTGTGGGTGGCTTTAGTAGTTGAGTTGGTGGGTGAGTCAGATAATGAGGCGCCACAGTGGCGAGATGTTAACTCCCTCGCCTGGTATATTGGAGTTCGTAGGTTCCCCCCAACCCTAAAGCCTGTATACATTTGGAGTTTGTATCTTCTCCCCATGGTCGGTTGGAATTTTCTCCGGGTTCTCCGGGTTGTCCCTCCGTATTTAGAAACATGCATTTATAGAACTTGGCTGCTATAACGTTCTACGTGAAAAGCCACTTCATTGAGCTGTTATTTGTGGGCAGATTGCTTCTGATAAAGATTTATATAGCTGTGGGCCTTACCTGGAAAAAAACTCGTTTTAGTTCAGTGTTTTTTTTATGATTGGCTGGGTGCGTGGGTGAGTGGGTTGGTGTGTGGGTGGGTGGATGAGTGGATGGGTGAGTAGCTGGATGCATGAGTGTGAGTTAGAGATTGAGAGAGTGGCTTGGTGAGTGTGTGAGTGGCTCGGTGGTTGAGTTTGTGGGTGGTTGAGTAAGCTGGTTGAGTAAGTGGCTGGTTGAGTTAGTAGGTGGTTGAGTTCATGTGTTGTTGAGTTAATGGGTGGGTATTTGAGTGGGTGGGTGTGTGGGTTCATGGATGGGAGAGTCGGAGAATGGAGCGCCATTGTGGTGAGATGCGAACCACTTCACCTGGAAAACAGGAGGTTGTGGTTTCGATCTCGACCCTTCTGCCTGTATATTTGGAGTTTGCACGTTCTC